AAATCTACATTTGTAAGTTGCACTTTCATGATAAAGAGATTGCACTACAGTTCTTTTATGAGGTAAATTGAAAAACTATTTCTTTTGTTTATCTTTTTACAGTGTGAAATTTTTAATGAAAATAATAATATAAAGTGAGCACTGTACACTTTGTATTTTGTGCTGTAATTGAAATAAATATATTTGAAAATGTAGACAAACATCCAAAAATATTTATAATAAATTGAAATTGGTATTCTTTTATTGTTTAACAGTGTAATTAAAACTGCAATTAATCGCGACTATTTTTTTTTAATCTCAGGATTAATTGTGATTTTTTTAATTGACAGCCCTAATGGAAACTAATTTTATACGCAGTCTGTCACTAAAAGTTGTAATATCACTTTCATGTTTCCCTTGGGGATAGATTCTCTCAACTGCACAAAGTGTGAGTAAACAGCATTGGCTCGGGGGAATCCATGACAATTGGTGGGCTGGAAACCTCCCCTCCAACTCATGGAGTAGCAGCAGCGTTACTTCATAGACATTACTGCAACCCAGTGAAGTGGGCTGTATTTACCACACTAAATCAGTGTCCTGCTTTGTGTCAGCCAGCAAAAGCTGTTTAAAGACACTGACTTGGCTTTTTGACCCAGTTTCTGATAACACATAAAATTTATTTCTTTGTTCCACAAGCACCAATAAGTGTTCAACAAGGATGGAGGCATCATTCTAAAAAGGTCTCTTTATAATGGAAAAGACTATGGCTTGAACTTCAGAGATACTGAGCACCTGTAGTTCTCATTGCCTTTAGCCAGAAGTGGGGGTGCTCAGCACTTCCAAAAAATGAGGCCATTAGTCTTTATGTAGCTGATGAAACACATTATAGAACTTTGTATGCTAATCCATTGTAGAACTGCCGGAAAAGTTCTTAGTGGACCACCAGACATCTCCTTATTAAGTCAAGGTCAGTGAAAGCCGTAGTCCATTCTACATTCAAAGACCATACTGTACAGAGAAGCAGTATACTTACTAACTAGATACTTTTTTTTACCATAGAATAGAGATGTCAACCAACAAATCACAGGTTGCATCCTTCTTTAGTAAGAAAATGATACCATTTCTGGGTCGAATTTTTCCCCTCTCTAAGTACTGACATGCTAACACACATGGTATTGTGCAACTGAGCATATCTATGTCAAACAGGTGTGTGTGGCAATGCACCATGCTAGTGAAAGTGGAAAGCATACATTTACCACCTCTTAAGATTAATTATATTTCTTTCCTCTTTAACTTGAACATATTTTTTTATTCCCTTCTCTTTCTCATTTTAAAAATATAAACAATTCTGTGATCAGTAGCATCCTCTGTTTGCCAAACTGACTTCTGAGGAAGATGTTTTGTCCTCTGAGTGACAAAGGGCCAGAATCCTATATTCATGTTGAGTAGTACTTTCCTCTGCAAATAATTCCAGTGAAGAAAATGGCACTATTTGAAGAGCCAAGTATTTCTCAGTGTAAGTGCACAGTTTGGCCCAATTCTGTTCTCAAGAGGAGGAATAGAATAAGAAGCATCAGAAGCAAGAGAATGAAGGGCTAAGTGATAAGGCACGCTCAGGTCCGAGAACCAGTCCTCCTCTGTGTCAGGTATCTGTCAGATATTCTGAACATTCCTCCTGGATGCCAAGACACCTTATGCCTGGAGGCTGGGAGAACGCGAAGCTTATTAAAGTGGTCAAGACACCTCAACTACATGTGAGTATTTGCTCCTTTGCCCTTGAATCAAGGGTCTCTGACAGGTGATAAAAATAAATCTTGGATAGGGAGATGTTTTGTATCACCCTCCGAGACACTTTGTATTACAGCAGGGAATTATTTAAGCCATGTAGACCATATTTGATTCCAATCCCTTTCAAACCTTATTGTAATTTTCGTGGGCATTCTCTGTGCAGAGAAAACGGTGTCCAACAGGGATGCACAAGAGAAATATAGATACAAAGAGAGGTGCATGTGGCTAAGCACTGAGATAAAGCTGTGCAATGGATAAGAATATTGTGGAACCTGCATAAGTAAAAAGAACACCAACAAAAGGCATATTGTGCCTTTTTACTTTGAAACAAATAGAAGACACAGATAATTTTTCTGCTAAAGAATCATCTCCGATTGTTTGTGCCACAGAGGCAGATAAATGCCAAAAAGATAGATCCTTCTGTCTCTGAGATACTGTCCTGTATAGTATAAAGTTAATAGCAAAGTAATAACGAGCCTCCAGTCCTGACATAAAATATAAACTTATGCCTGCTGGATGCAAGCATCATGATCTATAACCTCAAATGCCTGAGATCATAGCAGGGAAGTCTCCACCAGGGTGGCATGAGGAGGGCAGATGCCATCCAGCAAATAAATTGCATTAAAAGTGTTTCACTGGGACCAAACCTGTTTATAATGGCCAATATTTTCAACCTAACTTTAGGCATCTAAATATATATTAGGGCACTGATTTTCAGTGAAGTTGAGTACCTAAAACTCTCCCTGAAATCACTGAAAGCTGCTAATGGTCAAGATGTCTGAAAATCAGGATATTTTTATTTAGTTCCCTAAAGACAGATTCAGGTGCCTACCTTTAGGCATCTATGGTAGGAAAGTTTGGCTAATGTGTTTAGCCATCATAATGTAATAAATCTATTACAAATAACTTAAGAGAAGGTTATGGTTGCATGGTTAAGTACTCAAAACTCAATAAATTAAAAAGTTTATGTTGCATGTGCAGCACTAGCTCTTCCTCTTGTGTGTATACATTAGTCTATAGGACCAGACCCTGAGCTGACTTAAACTGATGCAGCTCCATTGACTTAAACTTTGTCCATTGACTTCAACAGAGCTACACAAATGTACAACCTCTGAGGGTCTGGTCCAATGTTTTAGTTTCTTGATCATATACTACTTCTCTAAAAACATAATGTAATGACATACCTTTTTTCTGTAGCTCGGGATAAATATGTGTAGAATTTGTAAAATATTTTCTGTTAGTCTTTATATACAATACTTTCAGTATTATACTGGTCAGATATATCTTCATTAACTTAGGAACTCGATATAATACCTTTTCTATGCCTATCAATACTTTTATCAGCACCCAGATACTACATATTTTGCACAATGCATAATGAAGAAAATGAGGCAGCTAACTATGAAGGTAACTTTAGCTGTATATTTGGTCTGTAAGTGGTCTATATGCTAGCTCTATTACTGAAGTACTGTTACATATTTCATATAAATGAATTTAATGAACTCTGTGCAACAAACACAGAGTATTACACAATACTGCAAGATACTACATAACTGTAGCAAAGGTTGCAAAAATATGTATGCTATTATCTTGCATTATTTGAGAAATAGTATCTGCATTCACACAAGAGGCAAAGTTAAGGATGGTAATGCAGTTTTTCCCCCCAGCTTTCCTCTTCTAAAATTACTGAATTGTTTCTGCTTATACTATTTTTATATATAAAAACAATATATATAATGTTCAAGAAGAGATCAGGCTTGGTAAATTCCAGCCCAATCAGAGAACATTTTATAAAGTTATCTGGAAATGAGAATCGGGAGTTAGAATGGAAGCACATGACTTTAACTACAGCAGTTACTACACTCCTGCTAAAATGTAGATGCACTGACATAGTGACACATTGATAGAATACAGTGTAAAATTTTCTAAATGCATCATCTTAAATACTTATAAATATATAAACATCCTGTAGTAAGTGGGAAATGAATGAGGCAGTACCTCTCACATATGTAAATTTTTTGCTGTCACAGAAGTTAATTCCCAGAAATGACAACCCCATTGACTTCAGTGAAAATGAATAGTTGTGACTAGGTGAGAACTTGGCCTTGTACATTCATCTTTATAACAAATTTACTTCATGATGTTGGCAGTCAATCTCTGAAAACCCCACCCTTGTGTGAACATCGCACTTCCCTCCAACCAGACTTGGTTGAATAATCTGACATCATGGCTGTGAGTATATGGCTTCAGGATCTCCAGGAAAGCAGAGTAAGTGCTATCAGAGAAATTCTGCTCTAAGACAGTGAATGTCCTGAATCGGATTATTCTACACAGTGCCACAATACAAAATCCATGGAAAATTCACAATGCAACCATTAGAACCATACATTCGTTAGCAATTTCTGTCCAGTGTACATTCGACAATAGTGACTTAACCACACACTATTATTCTTGATGATATTATATTATCCTCATGCAAGTCACTAATATACAAATTACAGTGGTTTAAACAGTGATGCTTCTGCATCTGTTTGAACAAAACCTACTCAAATAATCAAACACAATGAACTACTAAAAAGCACAATTAAGGTAAAATGTATTAATAAATGTTTAAAACTTATACTTTTTTTTAAGTCTTCTGAAGCAGAGACCCAATTTAATTTTATCTGATATTAAATTTTTATAACCAGGTGGTATGAAAGCTTTACCAGTTTGAAAGAGAAATCCTGCTTTACATGCAAGCCTTGTGGTATCTCTTTAAGTTGCATCTATTAATTACAAACCATCTTAAAATTGCAAAAGGGCAACTGAAACAACACTGGCTTTGAACTATGTCTCAGTCCAAAATAATGGATTCATCTTAATATGATCTCTAATTTTCACTCAGGGACCCTCAGGCAGATTCTTGCAAAAGCTTCAGGCAGTGTGTAATCTATTTGGGCCTTTAAAAAAAAGTCGGTAGTGTACTTAGCATTAATTTAAAAAAGACACCTGATCTTTACAATTTTATCTTGCTTTAAAATTAAAATGAAGATTACTCAAACTCATAGCTAATAGCATTTGATATACAGCCTGGGCGTAGAGATTTTACAAAAATGAAAAAGAGAAAGCAAACAATGAACCAATATATTATTTGTGCTGTAATGTGCTATTTGACTTGCTTTATTCCCCAGTCTGGATGATACTCCCTTGCTATAGAGAATATACCAAAGGGTAAAGACAGCTTTACCGACCTGTGTGCTGCCTCCGATGCTTAGTGAGGGCATGACGTGTCCCGCCGGCAAAGCCACAAAGGTCACACAGGAACGACTTCTCGCCTGTTGCAACAATAAACAGATGAGGGACTGCGGAGGTCACAGATCATTAAAACATATCTATCAAGGCTTTCAGGGTTACTAATTCCTCCAATCAAATGTTTCCATGTAAATATGTCAAATGGGAATGAAATTACCACTGCGGTTTATTGACTGTGATAAAATCTGAAAAGCACCACTGAACATAATTACATACTTGTCAGACCCATAAAAATTAGCTTTATTATCAATGGAATGGTTTTGTACAACTTCATTTCTGTTAGATGTCTTCCAGATGGGGCTGCTTTATGCACTTGAACAGTTTTTATGCATATCCTGATTTTTTACAATTCCCATACATCTGGCCTTTCTGTGCTGAGTAAAGATTGCCTGGAAAAGTTAATATACTGTATATATGATTCTGCTTAAATAAAATATATTGAATTTACTAATAAATTAAGGATAGTGAGAAATTTTAACTGACTTGATCATGGTCTTCTTTAGTAACCTTATGTTTAATAAAATGAATTAAATTATTTTCTTGAATATATTGAAGAGCCCAGGCAACAATAAAAGCCATATTATTCAGTACCAGTGGCAATTCAGTACTGTTTATGTTTCTAAAACTTTCATGACATAAAGAAAACAAGTCTGGGGATTACTACAGAAATTGCAGTAGAACTCATATTGTTCATCTTTAATGATATTTCTTCATTCCAAACCTCCGGAACAATTAGAGAGAGATTTGGCAGGCTCACTACTTGTAAAAAGTGTGTAAATGCTCATTTTTTAGTATTTTTATTCCAGCTAAAATTTTGCCCCATTGTCTATAAAAACAATCTATCATTTCACAGTAGCCTTTTTACACAGTAAGTACTAGCATACTAGGCAGTTTCATCCCATAAGACCCATTGAGAAGGGCATGATGGAATAATAACTTTAACCTTGGACAGATCCTGTGCAATTATAAAATAGCTTTAAAAACAAATTAGTCACTTTACTAATTTGGAACCAAATTGTACCCACCCACGGAAATGCCAAGGAGAAAGCATTAGAAGAGTCAGGACACTGCATGTGGGGAATCTAACAGAGTTTCCTTAAAACTCTCCCAATGGAAAGAGGATTTAGGCTCCTCAAAGGATTAGAAGGGGTGCTGTCTCCCAACTCAACTGAGACCTACAGTATTCAGAGAAGTCTAGCCCAGTCCTGAGGGGTCAGACCCTCCAGGCTGCTTTTCTGGCTCCTTTTACCCCTGGTAGCCATCTACATTAGTACCTGTGCAAAACATTCCATTCAGGAGAGGTACAGAGCCTGAATTCATGTTGCTTTGATAGCATTAATATAAGTGAGATACTTATTGGGATATCCACTGTCTATGGAGAGAAGAATGCCACAAACAAGAGCTCCTATCCCTCCCCCTCCAGCATGGCAAAACCCCTATGGGAATTCCAAGCCCATGGAGCATCGAGAGAGGGGATTCCACATAGTAGCAGCGAGCTGACCCCTCGACAGAAATGTGGGGCCCTGGTATATCATGTTCGCCTGGGTCCTACCCCTCTCCAATTTCACTTTATTTACACAGATGTTACAGAGGTTTTGGGGGCTCCCCTGAGCTCAGGGCCCCAGTACAATTGTTCCCTCTGTCCCCTACTCTAATCAGCTCTGTGGATGATTTTATGGTAGCAGCACTCTCCTTTTCCTTATCCCCTAACCAAATATACCTGATGTGAGATACCTGCGCTCTCGATCTGGAGAAAATTATCAAGCTCTTGGAATGATTCAGGCTAAATTTCAAAAGTGGCCTCAAACTTATCACTATAGTGTGTGCACAAAAACATTGACCTGTACAAGGTACCTCAGTGTCTAAAATGGAGCTTGGACAGGCAAATCCATATATTATGGCACACAAAAACATAAGTAGCAACATTTTACACAAATTTAGACTTGCAACTGTAGGGTTCACTTTTGAAAATTTGGATCCTTATGCAATAGGTATTCCAAATGGTATCCTACGTGCAGAATACCTTTTGGTAACTGAATATAAGAATTAGCTCTAGCCATTTTGTAATTGTAACTGAATTAAAAACCAACCAACCAACAAAACCCACTACAACAGACAGAAAAACAGTAGTAATTAAAAACAGCCCCTCATTTCCTCTTGACGTGAATATATTCCTTTTAAGGAGCAAATTAATACCAGCAAAACTTTAAAATTATATAACCAAAATCTGAATTCTAGCTCACAATCTTACTGATTAATATTAATTACTGAAGTAATATATTGTTTTTTTACAAAGAAATTTCCCTCTATAATCTCTCTGCTCTTCTTGTTTGGATTTTTGTGTCAAGATCTTTTCTCTAGCACTTGAGTTCATCAAAGTATTAAAGGAAGGGAGTAGAAGGGCTATAAAGAAGGAAGCTTAATTATAATTAATTAAAT